TGTCACATCATCATCCATTAATTTTGTTAACTTATATTTAACAGAAAGGACCAATCTGACCCACTATTTTAAAAGTTAGGACTAATTCAAAACACTTTTATAACGAGGGACTAAATTGAGATTTTTCAACCAAAGTGAGGACTAAATTGGCTATTAAACCTTAAAAGAATTCTGAGGTACCTAAAAGGTACTTACAGATATGGAATTTTGTTACCAAAAGGTGAACCAGGAGGAAAGATGCGAGTCACTGCCTACTCTGACTCAGATTGGTGTGGAGATAAGGCTGATAGGAAGAGTACTGCAGGATATGTGTTTTTCTTGGAAGGAGCACTAATTTCTTGGAGCTCCACTAAGGAACCTGTAGTGGCGTTGTCATCCTGTGAGGCAGAGTACATTTCTGCGTGTGAAGCCACTTGTCAAGCAGCTTGGCTATGTTCTTTGATAAGGGAATGGAAGATTGAAACAGAGGAGAAGGTCAGATTTCTTGTAGATAACAAGTCTGCCATAGACCTGGCCAAGCATCCTACGTCACATGGTAGGAGCAAACACATTGAGACTCGGTTCCACTACATCAGGGAACAAGTCAGCAAAGGGAAGATTGAAGTGGTACACTGCAGATCTGAAGATCAGATTGCTGACGTACTCACTAAAGCTCTAAAAGGAGAAAGTTTTCTAACTCATAGAAAACAGATCGGGGTGAGAAACGCTGGCATGATGACAAATCAACATAAGGAGGTTGCGAAAACCTAGGGTTTTCGTCTCATAAGAAGGGGCTTTCACGGTTTTTAATCGGTGAAAAACCGTTCAAAACAAAAGGAAGGTGTTTTTACCGATTATTAATCGGAGGTTCGCCGGAGGTTCACCGGAGGTGGTATTTTCACCGATTCAATCGGTGGAAAGGGGGTTTTTTCATCAAATTGTTTTCGTTCTTCATTTTTGTTTAGGAGGAGTATTACGTTAAACAAAAATAAACGAGTTAGTTTTCTGTTACAGTTTGCTACTATATAATTGTTGTAAATTATATTGTTTGATGTCAATAAAAATTTGTTCTGAAAGTATTGTAGTACCTGAGTGTCTTCTGTGGGTGTGCCGGTCTGAACCTTGTGTGTGTGTGATTTCCTCCAGTGAGCGGTGAGTGTGGTGGTCTGAGGAAGACGTTGGAGAAATCCTAGCAGAGCTTCTAGCTCTGATCTCTCTCTAGAAACATCACTCTATGTTATTTCTCTCTCTTTCACGAGCATGTTTAGTTTCTTTAATATCTTAAAGATATTAATTGGGCGCGTAATTACTTTTCTACCCGTCCTTTTTCTAATAGTATTTAGGGTTAGTTCCTTCTGAATCGCCCTAGTATCTAATAACCAAAAAATCTTTCGAAACTGCACCATTTTGAAAATTTGGTAAGTCGTGTATTATTAAGTTTATTTGCTGCGGACATGAAAAGGGATTAACAGATTAAGGTTGAAATCGTGTACCTTGGGAGACATGAAAGCCATGTCGTCTGAGAATTCGAAAATGAAGAGCGGTTTCATGAAGAGTTTTTGTGGTTCGGTGTATGATGTTTTCAATCGAAACAAGTGTGAGAAGGGCTTTGTTTATCCAGTCTTGGAACCTGAAGATCAGTCCCAAGCGTTCAATATCATCAATCAGTTCAAGTAGGCTTTGTGGTTCCATGTCCGTTGCATCCATCATAAGTCGTACTTTCTCCTCCAACTCTGCTGCTCTTTCTTGCAGAATTTCTCTCTTCATTTAGCATGCATGACAGAAAAAAAAAACACTAACAGTGAAAAAACAATAGTTCCAGAAGTAACATTGAGAGCAAAGAAATTGCAGGAAAAGAAAGATTACGGGAAGAGTTTTTGGCAGGGAGTGGATAAATTCATGAGTAAAAGAAGGTGTGGGGTTGAAAGTAGGTGGAGTTCTAAATGGGGTATCCTGTTTGTTGGCATCACGAACGAGCTTGACTGAGGATATAGAAGGAGCTTGTGTGGTAGACAAGGAACAGGGAAGGCTCCATTCATTACTTGCCATGTTGTTTTCACTCTTAAGCTTCCACTTTCTTTAGTATCAAATATGTGATGCTCACCAATGCGTGCCTTCTCTTTATATATGTAACAATCCTAAGTAGTAGAAATATACAAGCATTTTTGTTTTTAAAGTCGTGCTATACGTACTTTTACCTTTTTTGTTTCTTCCTCAAATTGTGCTTGATAGCACGTTTTTGTTTTTTCTTTTATGTTATTTTGTGGTAACAGTGCTGTCTAACATGTTTCTCTCCTTTTTTTTTCAATTTTTTTATATTTCGAAATTTTGTTATCTTTTCTTAATTTTTTTAAGGATGAAACTTGGGTTTTGTGCTTTTGATTTTTACAAATTTAGATAATTTAATTAAATATTTATTTATTAGCTAATATAATATTTCTGGATAATTTGAAATAATAATATAGTAAAAAAATATATTGAATTCAATTTTATTTAAAAATATTTAAATATAATGCTTTAATTTTTATTTGTGTGACTTATCTTAATTTAATTTAATTAATTAGTGAAATAATTTAGTTAAGTGAATGTAATTTCAACAAATTTAAACTAGTGTTACTAAATTATGTGATTTGTACCATATGATCGCCAGTTAACAATTGACTGAACAATCAACTTCTTGTTTAACTCCAGAAACTGGATCGTAACAGGACGATTTTTACTATTAGTGACCAAACTGTTAGCTTCACCATGTTGCAAATTAAACTTGCTTACAGGTAAAATATTTTCTTCAACTATTAGGATGTGATTAGGTTCCTCTTAATTGAAAATTTATTTGAAAATTTATAAATATAAATGTAAGATAAAAAGGTATATAATTGTATTTATTATATTATTGATAATTAACTCTAGTTACTGGATCATCATCTACTACTTTAATCATTGGAGTACATAAACGTAGATAATCCAATACAGTATAAGGAGTACTGAAAGAAAAATACTTGAATTACTAGAGCATTTGGAGGTTGTTTGAAGCTTCATGTTCAAGACAGTTGTACGCGACTCCAACACCGAAATATGATTCTATCATAATAAAATAAATTTATAAAAACATGACTTCTTGTTATCATAAAATATATATATATATATATATATATATATATATATATATATATATATATATATAAGGGTTAAATATGTTTTTATTCCTTAATTTTCATTAAAAATTACAATGAGTCTCTTTTTAAAACTTTGGACCAATTTAGTCCCTAAACTTTAAAAATATGTGAATTTAGTTCTTTTAACTAAATTTTGTTAACTGAGAAATGCTTTTGAAACATTAAGTAAATCTAACAAAATTTAGTTAAAAAGACTAAATTCATACATTTTAAAGTTTAAGGACTAAATTAGGCCAACAATTTAAAAAGAAACTAATTTTAATTTTCACTAAAAAAAAAAAGAGAAAAATATATATATTTAAGCCTGTATATAATAATAATAAAGCATATATATTCAAATTGACGCAGACCACCCATTTAGGAAGCCTTGCTCTCCTTTCAAAAAAATATGCACCTACCATTCACTTGTTTTCTTCTTAGTTTGTCAAGCAGTTACCACAAAATTACAATAATGCCATGCCGTAATGAAAGCCAGCCCAGGCATTAAAATAGGATAGCAAACATGGTTCCCACTTGTTGCAATGTAATAAGCTCGCACAAGATTTTGACAGAGATTGTATAAATTGAACTAAATATATTTTATATACATCATTATTATTGTTTTAAATTATTCAATTAATTAATAAATTAATATTTAATTAAACTATCTAAATTTATAAAAATAAAAACAAAATTCCAGGTTTCATTCTTAAAAAAATAAAAAAAATAAACAATTTTAAAAAATGTAAAAATATTTAGAAATAAAAAGAAAAACGTGCAAAAAAGCACTATTTAAAAAGAAAGCCTAACTCACCCCACAAAACGGACTTATAAGGTGAGGTTTGCACCTCAGTTATATATGATAATTTAGAAATTAATCGGATGGTCTAATAGCGGTCTGACAACTGTGGAAACAGAAGAATGCCTACATAGATCTCGTTAGGATAGACTCTAATTATGGCTTTGATATCATATTAGAAAGCGGTTTTCTGCCTAACTCAATCCCACAAAACCGGCTTGTATGGTGAGGTTTGCACCTATATTATGTATTATAATTTGACTTTTTCTCTAGTTGATGTGAGACTTCCAACAAAAGCCATGAACAGTTTATAGAACACATGTTTACCACTACTTTGATAGACACTGGAGGACTACATTTTTAAATACTTTTGAAAGATCTTTTATTAACACTTTTATTAATGATGGAGGACGCATTTCTCAGTTAACATTCAAGCAAAAGTATGTCAAACCGTGTAAAAACCTCAAATGTTACCATGAAACGTACTTGAAACATTAAGTAAATCTAACAAAATTTAGTTAAAAAGACTAAATTTACACATTTCTAAAGATTAGAGACTAGATTAGGCCAAAATTTTGAAAAGAGACTAATTCTAACTTTTACTGAAAAGGGACAAAAATATATTTAAGCCTGCATATAATAATAATAAAGCATATATATTCAAATTGACGCAAGCCACCCGTTTTGGGAAGCCTTGCTCTCCTTTCAAAAAAATATGCAGCTACCATTCACTTGTTTTCTTCTTAGTTTGTCAGGCAGTTAGCACAAAATTACAATAATGCCATGCAGTAATGAAAGCCAGCCCAGACATTAAAATAGGATAGCAAACATGGTTCCCACTTGTTGCAATGTAATAAGCTCGCACAAGATTTTAACTAAGATTGTATAAATTTAACTAAATATATTTTATATACATCATTATTATTGTTTTAAATTATTCAATTAATTAATAAATTATATTTAATTAAATTATCTAAATTTATATAAATAAAAACAAAAGTCCAGGTTTCATTCTTAAAAAAATAAAAAAATAAAAAATTTTAAAAAATGTAAAAATATTTAGAAATAAAAAGAAAAACATGCAAAAAGCACTATTTAAAAAGAAAGCCTAACTCATCCCACAAAACTGACTTATAAGATGAGGTTTGCACCCCACTTATATATGATAATTTAGAAATTAATTGGATGGTCCGATAGCGGTCTGACAATTGGTGAAAACAGAAGAATGCCTACATAGATCTCGTTAGGATAGACTCTAATTATGACTTTGATATCATATTAGAAAGTGGTTTTCTGTCTAACTCAATCCCACAAAACCGGCTTGTATGGTGAGGTTTGCACTCATATTATGTATTATAATTTGACTTTTTTCTCTAGTCGATGTGAGACTTCCAAAAAAAGCCATGGACAGTTTATAGAAACACATGTTTACCACTACTTTGATAGACGCTGGAGGACGACATTTTTAAATACTTTTGAAAGATCTTTTATTAACACTTTTATTAACGCTGGAGGACGCATTTCTCAGTTAATATTGAAGCAAAAGTATGTCAAACAGTGTAGAAACATCAAATGCTATCATGAAACGTACTTAAAACATTAAGTAAATTTAACAAAATTTAGTTAAAAAGACTAAATTCACATATTTCAAAAATTTAAGAACTAGATTAGGCCAAAATTTTAAAAAGAGACTAATTCTAACTTTTACTGAAAAGGGACAAAAATATATTTAAGCCTGCATATAATAATAATAAAGCATATATATTCAAATTGACGCAAGCCACCCGTTTTGGGAAGCCTTGCTCTCCTTTCAAAAAAATATGCAGCTACCATTCACTTGTTTTCTTCTTAGTTTGTCAGGCAGTTAGCACAAAATTACAATAATGCCATGCAGTAATGAAAGCCAGCCCAGACATTAAAATAGGATAGCAAACATGGTTCCCACTTGTTGCAATGTAATAAGCTCGCACACGATTTTAACTGAGATTGTATAAATTGAACTAAATATATTTTACATACATCATTATTATTGTTTTAAATTAATCAATTAATTAATAAATTAATATTTAATTAAATTATCTAAATTTATAAAAATAAAAACAAAATTCCAGGTTTCATTCTTAAAAAAAAATAAACAATTTTAAAAAATGTAAAAATATTTAGAAATAAAAAGAAAAACGTGCAAAAAAACACTATTTAAAAAGAAAGCCTAACTCATCCCACAAAACTGACTTATAAGGTGAGGTTTGCACCCCACTTATATATGATAATTTAGAAATTAATCGGATGGTTCGATAGCGGTCTGACAACTGGTGGAAATAGAAGAATGCCTACATAGATCTCGTTAGGATATACTCTAATTATGGCTTTGATATCATATTAGAAAGTGGTTTTTTGCCTAACTCAATCCCACAAAACCGGCTTGTATAGTGAGGTTTGCACCCATATTATGTATTATAATTTGATTTTTTCTCTAGTCGATGTGAGACTTCCAACAAAAGTCATGGACAGTTTATAGAAGCACATGTTTACCACTACTTTGATAGACATTAGAGGACGACATTTTTAAATACAAGATCTTTTATTAACACTTTCTCGGTACTTATTGAGCATAAGAGAGCATAACTGTCCAAGCATAACAGATTTACCTCTATTTTGAGAGACTTTCGAGGAAGGCATTTTTAGATACTTTTGAGAGACCTTTTAGAAACACTTTCCCTGTATTTATTGAGCATAAGAAAGCATAGCTATTGAAACATTGTAATGTTTGCATCATTACGGAGAGCTACACCTATCTTGTGGTGAGTTTATAATGTAATCCTTTGAAACTTTTTGGTATTAGTAATGTTTTATTTATTAACGTAAGCTTTTGTTTACGTCTTTCCAGTATCTTTGTTGGAACATTGACTATCTCTCGACATCAACGCACATGTGGCAGCTTTATTAAGGGACGTTGAGAGGTGAAACAGAGAGTAAGCAACAGGTTGTGGTTGTGCGGTGAAGTCGTTGTCTCTGGTTTATGGTTGCTCGTCGGAAATTCACCATCCGAAACCGTTTCTTATTCCGAGTAAAGGGTTTGTTAATTAGTGTTAAGAGATGGATTTTAAGTTTAATTCAATCTCACAAAATCTGTGTATCTATTTATATATTATAAATTAG